CCTACCAGACACCCTTGGTCAGTGGGGCTCATGCCCGTCCCCTGACCATCTGCATCTCCCGCTCGCTGTGGGGACATTTCATGTTTACATCTCCTCCTTGGTCCTATCTGGCCTGCCTCCCTCTTGCCACATGTCCCATCCACCCAAGCTCTTCTCCCTGTGGTCCTGCTGAGAAAAGTCGAGCACCAGGGGCGGTGCCGAGGGGGTGGGAGCAGGCGCTGGGGCCTTGCCGCTTAAAATCCATCAGATCGGATAGTCTATACACGCAGAAGAAAATGTATAAAATATGAGTAAGAGCAACAATGAAAACAAACACCTGCGGATCCCACCACCTAGTTTAAGAAGTTGGTTAACTAGTTTTTAAACTCTGGACGGAGGCACCTTTCAGACTTCAGGGAGAGATTTTTAAACTTGTCTAACCCTGACTGGGTGCCTGCTATCGCCTCCCCAGGTCTACAGGCCCCCCTCACCTCTTCTGCCCTCTCCACCCCAGCCTCCAGGGCTATTTTGGGTGTGTACCAGTCGGGGTTAATCTCCTTAATCGTTGAGCCTTGCTGCCCAGGGCACTCCTGATAGGGCCCAGCCCTCTGCAAAGGGTAATCGGAGGGTTGTGCTGCCGGCCTCGGGCCTGCCCGGCATCCCCATCCCGGTAGAGAAGCCATGGACACCGGGCCATGAGCTGGGCCTGGTAGGGGAGGGGACCCGCTAGGCTGGGTGAGCCAGAGACCCGAGGGGAAGGTGAGGAGGCCAAGTGACTGGCTAGTGGGGTGCTTCTTGTTAGCTTCTCAAGGGAGAACCTAAAAGAGCTTCCTCCACCCCCCAGTTCAGCTGCCCCTGCTCCTGGCTGGGTGGAGGCGCTAATCCCCAGCCCCTGGTAACGCCAGGGAGAAGGACAGGGGAGGCAGGCTGGAGATTTTTCTTTCCCACTGGGGAAGGAAAGAGAACACATGAGTTGACCTGCTAGGATCAGGTTCCTGAAACCTGAGCCAAGCACAAGGGTTTCACTCAACTGTTGGCCACACACCTGCCCAGGGGGCCTTGTCTTCCACCTGGTCAGAAGGAGAGTCCCAGAAGGACTAGGGTAGAACACACAGGCACTTTTAAAGGGAGGGAGGGAAGCCAGGGGTCAGCTCTGCCAAGCCCCACCTCCCCCTCCTAACATTCATTCAACGAACAGAGGCTGAGGGCCCACCTCTGTGCTGGGCCCTATGTTAGCACTTGTCCACCAGAATCACACAAGCTGGGGAGGAAGAGAGATAAGAAAACAGGATGGGGTTGGTCCAGAGTGGCACTGGAGTGCTCAGATCAGACATGGTTCCTACACTTGCCCGGCAGTCAGAGAAGACTACCTGGAGGAAGTGGTGCCTGAGACCTCGAAGGAGGCACAGGGGTGGGTTGGGGAGAGGAGTATTCATGAAGCAGGGGGTAAACCAATCCAGGACAGCCCTGGAGTATTCTATCCACTGAGGGAGGTGCCGCCCGAGGCCCCTTGCACAGTCTACACCCACCCAGCACGATAGCCGGAGTTTGAATCTTGGGACTCCTCTTCCCCCGGAGAAACCAGAACTTAAGACCCAAACTGGGCCTGCCTCTGCTCTCAGTTTCTGTCTAAAAAAACAAACCAACATTTTGTTATGGAAAATGTCAAGCATATACACAAAAGTAGAGAGAACCGTGTAATGGGTACACATGCAGACCCATCACCCAGCTTCCACAATTATCAACTGGTGGACAGTATTAGTTCATCTATCCCCCTACCCACTCCCCTTGCCCATATTATTTTAAAGGAAATGCCCTAATCCTATCAGTTTTCCCCATAAATATTTCAGGATCTGTGTCTAAAAGGCAAGGATCCTTTAAAAAGTATATCCATAATACCGTTATCCCACCCAAAAGGAAGTAACAAAAATTCCTAATGCCATCCAATATCTTGGCAGGACTTCCTTCCCTAATCCACACTTGGTTCTAAGAGTTTGAATCCCGGGGCCACACTTGGTTTTACTATTTATGTTCCCAGCCCTGGGGGCAGGGATGAGCATTCAGCCAGGCTAGACGATGTGATAACCTGCTGCTCCTACAGCAACATAGGACTTTGTGGTCTGAGCCCCATCTCACCTCCATGGGGGTTCTGTATGTTTGTGCCTTGTGATCCTAATTGGATGATAAACTCCTCGGGCCAGGGGCTGGCACGACTGCCCTTTTTTGTACCCTGGCGAGGCAGAGAGAAGGAAGCACTGTCCTTAAAGCCCGGCGGGGTACTTGTGACTGTGTGAACTTAGGGCAGTTACTCAACTTCTCTGAGCCTCAGTTTTCTGCTCTGTATCATGGGGATAAACATACCTATCTCCCAAGAAGTGTGAGGTTTAAAGGAAGAGGTGAATATGCTTCGCCTACAGAAGATTCTCAGTAAATGGTCACCTTGCTGTGCTTCCTAGAGTCGAGTTACTCTGTCTTAACTAACTTCCAGTCAGTTCCTTACAGGGAGCAAATGCCGCTAGCCGTGAGAGCTACCGCCAGTCCAGCGGCCTGGAGCCCCCACCTGGAGCCGCTCCGCATCTGCAGTGTCAAAGGCCCCCCAGCCTGAGCATCCAGGGTTCGCTCGTTTATTGTTTACTTTGGCCCCTAGTTGAGCAGACAGGCTTGGCTTGCTCAGCCCTCAGAGGACTGATGGAAGGGAGGGGCTGGGCAGGGGGAGACAGCAATGAATTAATAATTGCATAGCTGCCATTTATTGTGTATTTATTATAAGCCAAGCCCTGTGCTAAGTGCTTTCCACTATTGTCCTCTCCGTTTTTTACAACAATCCTACGGGCTGGATACTGTGTAGCTGAGGGAAGGGAGGCCAACTGGGTAACTTGTAAGTTACTTATTTATACTATTAGGAAGAGATGCTGGTACTCAAACCAGGCTTTCCTGGCACTTAAACAAGTTCTTAATCCCACACTTACTAGCTTGCTAATGGTGCTAAAGAAGTCACTTTGTAGGGTTCATTGCCATTCATCCAGACTTACAGAGATGACTTCTGCTCATGGCTCGGGATCACCCAGAACTCCACCCAGGCACTCTGCCGACATATGCCCTTGAACTGGATGAGGAAGAATGGGGACAGCCTATCCCTCCAAGGGAAAAATGGCCCTGACGCCATCTTCTCATGCTGAAGATGTACATACACACACACACACACACACACACACACACACACACACACCCCCTCCATTCCCTGATTCAGACTCTGTCTGCAGAAACAAGCGTGCACCTGGCAGGGGTGAGGGAGGTGGGACCGGGAAGGCGAGGCTTGCCATGGTTTCAGTTGGCTGAGGAAAAAGCCTTTTGAGAATGCAATTTCCAGGAGCCTGAGAGTCCCTCACACTCTCCACAGCCTAAGCATCTTGCTTGGGGATTAAGAATGTTCTGCATTTGACTTTAGCCTCAGGACTGTCTTTCTGCACACCAGAAGCCACTGGGCACAGAGTCTGGGGACTAGGAGTGAGGCAAGAGCAGGGCCGGGCTCCAGAGTGAAAGTTGGGGGTCCAAGTGGGGGATTTACAGAGATGCCAAAGCCCTGGGCTGCTGTGTGGCTTTCCCTACGTGTCCTGTTAGCTGTCTTGAAGTACCAGGCCCTCACAGGGAGTGCCCTATATCCTCTCATCTTTTCCATAAATGTTCTAGTATCTGTTCATCATTATCCGAGTGGCGATCACCTTGCCCACAGGGTAATGAATTTCTGAGCCTTCTGACTCCGCTCGCTCCCAACTTCTTGGGCCCAGCGTGGTAGGGATGGAGACAGAGGTCCAGCTCCCCTACCTCACTTTCCTTCATCCCTCCCTCCCCCGTCCCTTCACTCAAGGGGCCAGGGCTCTGTCCGCAAACGTGCTCCATGACTAATGTCCAGCACAATCTCTGACCCAGCCAGACATGTCACAGAAATTCCGGGAGATACTGTTGCCTTTCTCATCTCCTTTGGGAGAATGAACACATCATGTGAAGCTCTGGGTCTTGGTTTCCATAGAAGTGAAGCAAAGGACAAGAACTGAGACTGAACTTTCTCATGCAAGAATCCACAAGGACAAGAGACATGGCCAGTAAGAACCGGCTCACAGAGGACAGTTTCCCCACTAACCCCTCTCTACAGCGGACAAGGGGCTCTATGAGTCACACTCAGGTGGAGGCTAGTCTAGTTTGTCCCAAGAAAACTCACATATGAATACATGATGAATAAAGGACTCCTCCATGCCAAGCCAGGAAAACAAAAAGCAGGTCTTGCTTAAGCCCATCCTAGAAGTCAGCAGATGTTTCCAAAATGGCCCTCCCTGACTGGCCCCTCCTCTGTCCCCTCCTCAAGGCAAAACCCTGCTGGGAACTACCTTCATCCCCCAGCAAAGGGACCTTGCTGGCTTATAAAAGGACTTATGACCAACAGGAGGGGATGCTCCCTCAAGATGCTCCTCTAGGAAGTGCAAACCCCAACTTCCCTGGGAGGGAAACTGAAGCCATCAGGTGAAGATGCATTGCCCACCTCACAGATCCCTGACCCCTGACTCCCATTGCTTTGGGAAGCCCATCTGCCCCTGAGCCTCCTCAAATGGTTCGTGTGCCACGAGTTGCCCACAGGGCCAGAGGGCTTCAAAATGAGCAGTTCTGCAAGGAGGCCTGACTTTCTTTTCTGGGGTGGCTGCCAAGAGACTGCAAGCATCATTCTATCCTCTGCCTCCTCCCCACAATGGGTGAAATGAATGTGCAGGGGGAAAAAAGTGCGGGGGGACAAGTACGGAATCAACTTGACAATGAACGCTTCAAGGGCATTCTCCAGCTCCCATTCTGCTAGCAGGCCTATCAGCTACTGCGGGATGCTGAGTTCTCCCAACAGAGCCAACTTGTGCTTTATAACAGAAATTAGGGGTAAGAGGTTCACACTGCCCGCTCAGCAGATGGTAATCGGTTCTGAAGCGTTACATCTTTTGCCAACAAGACCTTTTCCTCTGAGGAGAGAAGCATCCTAGTCACAAGTTCAGGTCTCCCTCCCCTCCCTCCCCTCCCCCCTTCCCTCTAGCATATTGCTCACTCACATCCATGGACATCTCCCTCTGAATAAGTTTCTTGGTCTCCTTTTCACAGAAGTTGAGCATGGCTTCCCGGTTGTACGTGCCCACGGACTGCTTCTCTGTCTGGTTTCTCTGCCGCAGGCCCACGGGAATGCTCCCATCCGGATCCACCACATCCAGCTCCTTCTCTAGCTCCTCCATCTCCTCGGGAGACAGCGTGGACAGCAGGCTGTCGATGTCAGGGTCTTCACTCACCTGCCGGCGATACTTGGCTACCTTGGACATCTTGGCAAAGTGGGCTGTGGCTCTTGTGGGGGTGGGGGGTGCTACAGGAGTCCGGGGGTGCACAAGCTGGTCTGGATGGAGCAGAGTGGGCTTGGGAGCAGAACCCCAGCGGATTGAGGACGTGGCTCCGCTGCCCTGCCCTGCAGACCCACAGGTGTCCAAGCGTTAACTGCAAGCTAACTCCCAAGCCCAGGGCTAGTGGACCCTGGCTGGTCTAACGGCGGCCAATAAGACTTGACAACAGCCTGGCCCTGAAAGGAGAAGCCAATCCCCATGCAGGGGGCGGGCCTGCCTCGCTGTCAGAACTGTTTGAAACTTGAGGACATTCCAGGGAATCTTGGAGCTCTGTGTGACCAAATTTAGTACAGAGCATTTAGCCTTTTAAAGACAAGGGGGCCACGCAATGAGAAAAAGATACAAAAATGTAGAGGCTGGAAGAAGCTGATCAGAGCACAGGAGAGCCAGAAAAGCAGAGACGGGGCCATGGGGGTGGGGGGGGCCGGTCAGGAATAGGCCAACCCCAAGCATGCCCTGCTCAAGCACATATCCGACTTCTGCATCCCGGCTGGATGTTGCCGGGGTCGGTGCATGGTCCACTGACTCCTTTCTACTGTATTTGGTAATGTGCTGGGGGACTCCCGGTTGTTTACAGCCACAGGAAAGATACATGATTCCAGATACTCTGAACTACCCGCCCACCCATTCTCTCTGCGCAGGAGAACCTGAGTGCCAAACATCAGAGGCTCAGCCACTTTTTGAGAGAGAGAGAGAGAAAGAGAGAAAGAGAGAAAGAGAGAGAGAGAAAATAAATCTTCACTGTGTACCCAAACTGAAAACTGGTAGGCTGGGGAGAAAGTATGACCCGCACAAGTCAGGGAACTCTTAAAGGACTGTCCATTTCCAGGAAGCGCCAAGGCTCTTGGGAAGAGGGTTCAAACCTCCCTCCGTTCTCATCTGCTTCTTCCTCTGCTGGGGGATCTGTAGACAGACCTCCTTTGGGAGGGCCAAGGAGGAGCCAGGAGGTTGCCACCCACATGTAAATCCAGAGCACAACTGAGTGTGTCTTCAGGGAAATATAATTCTGGGCTGTTGGGAGGGATACTATTGCAGCAGGCCTGGCATGTTTCATAAAAGGGCTTTCCACTGCTCATCCATCACGCTGCCTGCACAAGTCACAGAGACACTCAATCTCCTTCCCCCCCTCCTCCTGCCACAAAATCCCTTCTAGAAGCCCTGGTGTAACCTATCAGGGTAGATGGTTCGATCTTTCCTGGCATCTTTCCATCCTAAGCCAGAGAGAGACAGTCACCTGATCAGCATTTGCTGAGTCCAGGGATTGTCTGGGACAAAAACTTGGCCCTGCATTTAATGTCCACTAGTCCAGCTTTAGGTTACGGCTGAGGAGGGGATGGCACTGACGGGCAGGACTGGAGTGCAGAGGTGAGGCAGGTAAACCTGAGAGGCAGGGTGGAAGATGGGCTGAGAGAATCCTGGGGGTTGTCATTTTTAAAAGGCAGTCGTCATTCTGTCGGTGAGTTGGGAAGCATGTATTTATTGAGTGCTTACTATGTGTCAGGTGCAGTTCTAAGGGCAAGGCATGTAACTAAAGATAGAAAATTGGGGTGCCTGCCTGGGTCGGTTGGCAGAGCATCTGATTCTTGATCTCAGGGTCGTGAGTTCAAGCCCCATGTTGGGTGTGGAAACTACTAAAGAAAAGAAAAGAAAAGAGAGGTCCCTATCTTCTTGCAGCTTACTTTCCATCAGTGAAGATAGTTAATAAATAAATAATTTCAAAGAAATCATTAAAAAATTAAAAGCTGGGCGCCTGGGTGGCTCAGTCATTAAGCGTCTGCCTTCGGCTCAGGTCATGATCCCAGGGTCCTGGGATCGAGCCCCACATCGGGCTCCCTGC